CCCCATTTCAAGTGCTCAGCGGCCACGTGGCTCCCACAGGGCAGCAGGAACGCACACAGTTCTGCAGGATGGTGCTGGTCTAGATGGAGGCTTGGGAGATGGGTCACCTTCAGGGCAGGCCCTGGGGCCCCTGTGTGCTGATGAGGGATCACCTGTAGAATCCCTCCTGCTCAGTCTTCCTTATTTTGGAAGCCTGTGATGTTACGGCGTGAACAGGAGCAGCTGGGAAGTGTCTGAAGACAGAGCTCCGAGGAACAGAGCTGCTTACTTGTTCATCAGCAGCTGATCCCGGGAAAGGCTGGAGTTCACCACAGAGCTGTGTTGAAAGCCCCACGACAGAGGCTGAGAGGGGAGAGGGCCAGGGAAGCGCCGCGCCCCACTGGCGGGAGCTTCTGGTCCGTGGCAGCCAATGAAAGGAAGGTGTCTGTGGGTGCCCGCGCTGGGGACTGCTGTCTGAGAGCTGCGCTGTCGTCAAGGAGACTGCGGGCGTCCCATGAGTGTGTGTAGTTGTTGGTTGTAGACTCTCCTTTGCAGTTTGCACTGTTACCTTTTTATACTTTTTAAGCAGTTTTGAGATAGGCTTTACATATAGTAAAAGGTATTTAGCTGTATGGTTCAGTGAGTTTTGAGAAATGGGTAACTCATATGACCATCAGCACACCCCACGTGCCAGACCTTATCTTCCCCGACCATCTTCTCAGCCAGCTCCCTTCCCCAGCCCTGGCCTTGGGTGACTAATGGGCTTTTATTGCCACCAGTTAGATTTTCTAGAGTTTCATGTCAGTGGGATAATTCAGTATGTCCTTGTCTTTGCTCCTTTTGTGTAGCACTGTGCTATCTATGGTGTTGTGTATATCAGTGGTTGGTTCCTTTTTATTGCCGTGTGATATTCCGCTATATGAATGAAGCAAAAACCTAAAAAGAAAACAAATCTCCCAGTCCAGATATACCTTAAGCAGTTCCCCCTCAGTCTTCCCCTCCCCCATGGCTGCTGTTCTCTGTTCTATAACAAATCAAGTTAGAGACTTTGTTCCTGTAAGTAAGATTTTATGATCCCTCGCTTCTATAAGATCCTGAGTTTTTTTTCCACCAAGATGTGCTAAGCCGCCAGGCATGGTGGCGCACACCTGTAATCCCAGCACTTGGGAGGCTGAGGCAGGAGGATTGCTGCAAGTTTGAGGCCAGCTCGGGCTACAAAATGAGTTCAAGGCCAGCCAGAACTGCATAGTGAAACCCTGTTTCAAACACATGCGCGTGCGCGCGCGCACACACACACACACAAAGATATGCTGAGTTATAAAACGGTCACTTGATCAACTGCCTTTGTCCTGCTTCTGGAAACCCATTTGCCCGCTCACTGATTTTGCCCACTAGGTAGGTAGACTGCCTCTTTGACCACATGTATAAAACTGAGTCCTTTCCATTGTTCAGGACTCAGTCTTTGGATACGAATCCACTGATCCAGTGTGCACCTAAATAAATCTGTTTCACCCATTGGTCCCTCCCGTCTCTTAAATTCTGCAACACTGACATCTCACAATCTGTTTCTCCATTCATCTGTCACGGTCATTTGGGGTTTCAGGCTATTATGAATAATGCTGTTATATACGTATGGGTCCTTCTTGCAGACTTATATTTTCATTTCTCTTGGGTAAATCGGAGTAGAACTGCTGGGTCCTCTGGTAAAGGTATGTTTGACTTTCTCAGGAACTGCCAATAAACTGCGTTCTTAGGAACTTGATGTTTTTGGCAGGAGTTCCCATATCATCTGTACGCCTCACTTTCAGTTGGATCTCATATATGGCCTACAAGCAAGTTCTGAATTAGAGGCCATCCTGGGTGAAATGGGCCTGGGTTATCACTCAGGATAAAGAGACCAGGTGGGACTGGAGGATTTAAAGAAGTACTGTTGTGGTCTTTGGAAGAGTCCTTTTCCAGACTGTGAGAAAGGCTGCGCTTGCAACGATGGAGAAATCAGCTGATGCCCAAAGGATGGGAGGTATTTGCAGAGGAAATGATTCCCTTGGGGAAGGTGGAGGTTTTCTACCTTGGCCATTTCCTTGACTTTCATGTCCTCACTGAGAGCGAACTCTCCAGCCAGCTCAGTCTGGGAACTCCTTAGAGTTGTCAAGTGGTGGACATAGACCAGGGAGACTTTGAAGGGCTCTTTCTGCTTATGATTAGACCAGCAAAGAGAAATGAGATCCCAAACCTAGCCCACAAGACATAGGTAAGAGAGTTACTTTCACCTATATACCAAAGACTACCCAATGCCAGTATGTTAAGTAAATATACCCTTGATAAGAATCAAATTTCTGATCACAATTTTGCAACAGTTAATTCATCCAGAGATCACCTTTTCTATCTTAATGCACATGTGTCTTTGCTGGAATTCTCTACTTATGCTAAAAGCAATTCAGATTTCCTAGGCAAGTAAGCTTGGGAAGTGCTGTGTTGCAGCCTGTAATTGCTGATCACCCTGTGAGGGCTCTGTGAGTGTTCTAATGAAGTATGTTTGCATCTCATCAACTTTGTTGGCTGGTGTACTAGTTATCTATTGCTGCGTAACAAATGACCACAAATATAGCAGCTTAAAATCCCAGGCATTTACTATCCCAGAGATTGGGAATCTTGGCATTCAGCTTCAGAGTCTCTTACAGAGCTGAAACTAAGGTGCTGGCCAGAACTAGGGTCTCATCCAAAGGCTTGACTAGAGAAGGATTTGTTTCTGAGGTAGTTGGCAGAATTCAGTTCTTTGAAGATTGGATGGGGAGCCTTGGAACATAGTTTCTTGTCATGTGGGTTTTTCCATCATAGCTGCTACTGTATCAAAGTGTACAAGCCCAGCAGACAGGAGACTCAGCCAGCAAGATGGAAGCTACAGTTGAAGGTAATGGATCATGGAATGGACATCCTGTTGCCTTGGCTACATTGTGTTGATTAGAAGTAAATCGTAGATCCTACCCCCAGTCAAGGAGAGGATATACATAAAGCTGTGTTGATCAAGAGGTCATCAGATCTGCCAGCTGCTGGGTTACACTGCCTACCTCTGAAGCTCAAGGAACTCCACATAGTCACCTCAGGGTTCCTGTGCTGGGGAACAATCCAACCACAAAAGAAGTGATCAGCGGACAGTGTGGCACAAACTATGAAAGATGATCCTGGATCTTTTGTTTTAGACTTACTCTTCTTATGGAAAGTGGATAGAGCAAATGGTCTGTCAGCTGGAGTATAATTTCTTTTATATCAAGATGAGCATCCCACACAGAACCTGGCCCAAAGGGACCCCTCAATAAAAACTGTACAAGCTGAGCATGGTGGTGCACACTTGGAACCCGACAACTCTGAAGGCTGAAGCAGGAGGATTGCAAGTTCAAGCCCAGAATGGGTGTCTTACTATTTCTTGTTGCTGAGACAAAATACCTGGCACCCAAAGTTAAAGGAGGGAAGATTTATTTAGCTCACAGTTTGTAGAGATTTAAGTCTGTAATCGGCTGGCTCCAAGGCAGGATGACATGGCAGAGAGGCATCTCAGAGGAAAAACAGTTCATGGCAGGCAGAAGGTAGCAAAACATGGGACACCCATAGCTCTTCCTATCCCTTATATCATATCCAGGCTACTTTGGGCAGGTATTACTCACTCCCTTAATCCTAGTGCCCTTGATCCTAGCATTGCACCATGAATCAATCCCAGCATCACGTACTAGAGCCAGCCACCTCTGTAAAAGCCCCACCTATGACTGCATGAGGCTTTGAGGGGATACAAGCCATAACACTGGGCAACTTAACAAGATTCTCTCTCAAAAACAAAAAAGCTGAAAATGTAGCTCAGTGTGAAAACTTTTGAGTGCATTTCCCAGTACTGCAGAAAAAGAAAAGTATGGATAGATTTTGGACTTAATTCTATTGCCCTTCTTTTATGACAGTATTTTATATCCCTCAATCTAAATGAAATGCCAATTTACTTTCAGGAAATATTTTAAAATATTATAACAACTAGTACAAAAGATAAAAGGAGAATAATTATAATAAAAACATTTCAATATGTATATAGTCTTTTAAAAAAGGGGTTGAAAGCTTGCTCTTGAATTCAGAACCACTGCAAATGAGTAATTGTAAATGCAGACTGCCACCTAAAACTGGAGTGTGGAATTAAGGACTCAGATCCCACAGTTTGCCACTGGCAATGTGATTTTCCAGGAAGATGAGCAATTCTTGGAACTTTCTGAACAACAAAAACAAAATCATCGTTCAGTAATTTGTGCAGTAGTTGCATTCCTGGAAAATTCAGTGCATGTTTAAATTGTGCATGGGAAGAAAACCTGGTTTTGGAGTTAGTCCAGGGGTGAGGTTTTTATGTGTAGATTCATCATGTAAGTCTTTGGAAACCATAAGCGCCTTGAGACCATAATTATACGGGATTTTACTCCACTTTTCAGGACAAATGTCTGGGGCCTGTATACTCCAGAAATGGCTCTTACTCATTACGACAACAGAATCCCTGGAATTTTGCTTGCAGGCAGGTCCACTTGCCACTGCAAAGCGCTGCAGTGGGCCTTCACCTGGAGGGAGGTGAAAGGAGCCCAGCACGGTTGGATGGGACACAGCCTAGCCTGAAGTGCAAGGAACATCATGAGACAGAGGGCGATGTGTGCTTGGGCGGGGCTGCAGCTCAGCGGCAGAGCGCGTGCCTAGCATACGGAAGGCCCTGGGTTCCATCCTTAGCACTGGGGGAAAGGATGGTGCGCTCAGAAGTAGCTACTATGGGGGACCAGCTGAGGCCAGTTGGGGTGATGAGGTGAAGCAAAGGACTACAGTATGTGCTTGGGTGTGGAAGGAGAGAGAACGTGTTAGGCTGTCAGGAATGGATGTCTCAGAGCACTTTCACACTGAATTTTTTTATACTATAAGTTTATCCATTCAACATCCATTTCTCACTTTGATGTTTTTCTTTCATGTTGAATTTTAAGAGTAGTGACACAATTCTTTTTTCCCAACAGAAACCTGTTTCCCTCAAATCTTGTGGTTGCAGCATTCCGTACGGTAAGTTTTTGTTTTGTTTTGTTTTTGTTTTTGTTTTCCGGTACCAGGGATCAAACTCACGACCTTGTGCTTGCCGGCTGAGCTAAATCCTCAGCCCTCCGTACGCTAAGTTTTAATACTTTGCCTGATACATGAAACTTTGATGGGGAAGAAGTATAAATCACTGTTACCTAGTTAAGTAGACTAGGGAGGGACCATGTGGTTAACAAAACTGGGTAATTTTTTTTCAAAACTGGATAATTAGCCAGGTGTGGTGGCACATGCCTGTTATCCCAGCACTTGGGAGGCTGAGGTAGGAGGATGATTGCGAGTTCGAGGTCAGCCTCGGCTACAAAGTCAGTTCAAAGCCAGCCTGAACTGCACAGTGAGACCCTGTCTCAAAAAGACCAAAAAATAAAAAAATAAAAACTGGATGACTGTCCTAAGCTTTTATTAATAGGCACCTGGAATTAAAAATAATAAAAGAATAAACAGCTTGGCGTGGTGGCACATGCCTGTAATCCCCAGCACTCGGGAGGCAGAGGCAGGAGGATTGCTGTGAATTTGAGGCCAGCCTGAACTGCATAGTAGTTCAAAAATAAAAAAAATTGTAGGGGCTGGGGATTTAGCTCAGCGGCAAAAGCGCCTGCCTGGCAAGCGCAAGGTCGTGAGTTCGGTTCCCGGTACCGGAGAAAAATGAAAAAAAAAAAAAAAAAAAAAAAAAAAAAAAAAAAAATTGTAAAAACTTTTTTAAATGTCCCACTAGTTTCAGAATCTTTTTATATCACTTAGGCACTTAGGAAATACCCTCAAATCACATTTTGGTGATGTCAAATATTGTAGAATTTTTTAAAATAACATTTCTATTTTTTATTTTATTATAAAGTCATATGTGCTCATTACAAAAACTAAGAATACAAAAAAAGGAAACAAAAATCATCCATAGCCTCTACCTAGAGCTAACTACCCATTAATATTTTGCTGTACATCTTTCAGATACGGTTTTTCCACGTGTGTACATGTTACAAAAATAAGTATGTGACATGTATTGTTAGTATGTACAAACATTATGCATACTACTTTATAACTTGCTCTTTTCTTATTTTTTTGTCTTTTTGAGACAGGGTCTCACTATGCAATTCAGGCTGGTCTTTAACTCACTTTGTAGCCCAGGCTGGCCTTGAACTCGCAACGATCCTCCTGCCTCAGCCTCCTGAGTGCTGAGATTACAGGCGTGCACCTCCACACCTGGCATAACTTGCTCTTTTAAAAACAGTATATATTATAAGTATTTCCCACATAGGTAAACATCCTGTGTAGTGTTAATGGCTGGAGAATATCTACTATAAGACCATAACATAATTTCCCTCCAACTCCCGTTGGTGGACAGGTTATTTCCAGTTTTCTCATTTTTAGCAATATGGCAAAATAGACACCTGTGGCCATTCTTTGCACAGAGAAGGAATATAAAAGGGGAGATGCTGTAATCTGATTGCTTTTACAAGCAAAGATTTTGCCCTATTTACAACCCCTTTTTCTTTTTCTTTTCAATCTGCATTATGTGCAGGGGTGACGTTATATATAATATGAGGGAGAAGAAAAATGGATTTATGAGGCGTTCGGTCCCCAACACAGAGGGGATGTGAGTTTTGTTTCCCTGCCACCTTTGGCCATGGGATAAGTCAAGCAGAGTAAAGGCAGAGCTCCTGAGAGGCAGGCACAGAGCAGGCCCAGGTCTGTACTTCCAAACAAGCTACCCCTGAAGGTTCTGGAAGCAAGTGCCCTTAGTAGGGCAAGGAAGGTCTGGGCTCTAGTAGATCCCACTCCACAGTGTAGGCTGCCACAGCCAATACCTGTGAGTACTGTGTAGAGGTGTGTGAAGTCAGCCAAACTGTTGAACAGTGCTAGAGAGAAATCTCACTCCTGCTAAGTGAGTCTCCTGGGAAACTTAGCCAGCAGACACCATCTTGCCTCACATTTCTTGCTTTGGTGGGTGGAGGCTCAAGCCAGATTAGAAACAGGTACTGAGGAGCACAGTTCAAATAACTCCTGGAACAAGGTGGGACGTGGATAAATAAGTGGAAATAAAATGATGCATTGCAAAGTGAGCTTTGGCATTAGGGAAGTAGTGCCAGATTTCTTCAAGTAACATGAAGTAGATCAACTGTTGGAAATAGTCAAACTATCAGGAAATTGAGCGTAGTATCTCCCAACCATTGCTCAGGAACAGATGGAAATCCTCATTTCCTTGGGTCCCTAAATAACCCAGAGGCTTCTTGAAGGCTGTGCTGTCTTGGTCTTAATGTAACTTTCATACAGTCTCAAAGGTCTTTGAGAATTCCCAAGCCAGTCAAGGGAAGCATGCCCAGAACACTTAGTGTGAGTAACAATATTTAGTGTGAGTAACAGAGATCAGCTATGCCCTCCTTCAGGGTAGGTCCTGTCCTGGGCACTAACGGTGGTTTTTCTTCCTCTCCATCACAGTATGCTACCAATTATACAGTGACCCGCAACAACAGCTTTGGAAATGTGACCAAGGAAAAGGTAAGTTGCTCTAGAAGACTGCTTGCAGAAGTCTTTATAAAGCAAATATTTCTTAAGGGACATTTATGTTGTGCCTTGTTCTCAGCGAGGTGCAACTTTAGGGTTAGAGTGGATTGTTTAAAGCCTACATGTTGGGCTTGCTTCTTCGGTAACAATTGGTAAAGTTCAGAAGAAATAGAGTTTTCCTTGAGTGTATATCAACTTGACATTCTCGAAAAGTCCAATATATATTACAAATTCAGGGGGGAAATGTATTCATCTGTAAAACGGAGTTAGCTCTGGCTCAGATCCTTATAACAAGATGTTCCCCGTGTGGGTGTCCAGGGGGGTGCTCAGAAAACTTCCAGTGTAGGAGAGCCTGGGCTCCATTGTCTGAACCTGTGGCATTCTTAGCGCCCTGGGACTGCTTCCCAGTGAGACACCACAATCATGGTGAAAACCGCAGGACCTGCACATCCTCACAGCCATGCCACCACCGCCCCGTTGACAACTGTTGATTTAATCAGTGGTCACTGGTTTTAAGAGGTCAGAGTGTGTGTGGAGTCCAGCTGGGCCTCTCTGCTAACCCTGGTTTTCATAGCTTGGCTCACTGAGATATGGATGTTGGCTAGGCCTGTTCTCTAAGTAGGTGGCTTTACCATTCTGTGCTGCTTGACAGTTCAGGCTCTCCGCTTTGACATCATCTGAGCCTAGGACAGCCCACTCAGGGAGGGTTTATTATCCCTGCTACTAATTCTTTGAAATGGTGGTCTCCCAAGGTTGGTTGGTTGGTTTGTTTATTTATTTATCTATTTATTGTCTTTTTGAGACAGGGTCTCACTATACAGTTCAGGCTGGCCTTGAGGTCACTTTGTAACCCAGGCTGGTCTCAAACTCCCAACGATCTGCCTCAACCTCCCAAGTGCTGGGATTACAGGCATACGCCACCATGCCTGGCAATCCCCCCTGCTTTTTTTTGAGACAGGATTTTACTATACAGTTCGGGTTGACCTTGAACTCGCAACAATCCTCCTGCCTCTGCCTCCCAAGTGCAAGTGCTGGGATTACAGGCATGCTCCATGACACCCAGCTTTCTCCCTTTTTTAATCTGCTTCCAGAATTACCTAGGTAAAATTTGGACCTGTTGACTTTCTGTATCTTCAACACCATCTCCCCTTAAATTTTCTATCTTTGTGTTTATAAAGTCACTAAGGGTTAAAGAAAATGAGTCTTTTCTTATCCTAGATGCAGCATTCAGTCTGATGGAGATGCCAAGTGAATACCCCTGAATTCTCAGTATCTGTTAATCCCAGGCTGTTCTCTCTCCTCCGGTCCTGCAGATCCCCTATGGTACCGAGATTGAAGGGATGAACATTTTAGGGCTGGTCCTTTTTGCCCTCTTGTTAGGCGTGGCCCTGAAGAAACTGGGCTCTGAAGGAGAAGAGCTCATCCGTTTCTTCAATTCCCTCAACGAGGCGACAATGGTGCTGGTGTCATGGATTATGTGGTGAGTGTCACCCCATTACCTCTACTCTCTTTTTCCTGACATTCAGAGCGGGACCTGATTTCGCCACTCTAGGTTATCCTTTTGGCCTCCTTGACCCACCGCTCTGAATGTGGTTGCTGTCTCCACAGGCCAGGCGTGGGGTGGGGGAAGTGGAGATGATTTCTCCTCTTGTCCAGAATCTCTAGGAATCAGGTGTGGACCCTAGTTACTAGTTACTTCCTTGGTGCACACCCTGACTCCATGGGTGGTCCTATCCCTGTCGTCTCTTTATGGGCTCCACCATCAGCCCGGGTCAGTCCGTACCCAGAGTATATGCAGCACCCTTATCATCTTGTAAAGCAATGAATTCCATCAATTTGCTCTCTGCTGCATAAAGGAAAATTCATTTATCTTAAAATGATAGACTTCAGACTTCAAAGAGACCCTCACAAACTGGCAGTGTAGCACAGGGGTTCCTTTGCCTAGCACATGTTAGGTACTGGGTTTGATTGCCGGCACCAAAAAAATATAGAGCCCCCCCCCACTGTAGCATTTCACAGCATGGAGGATAAGCCCATCGTCAACCTGTGCATGTACAAACTTGGAATGGTCTTTTTTCACTAAGCTTTTTAATTTATAAACATTTCTTTGTGTAATATCAATGAAAGGATGACATTTTAGTAAATAGCATTAGATTGATTCCTGATGAAAAAGTAAAAATTTGACTAGGTGCTTCAAAACAGCTCCCCAGAGCATAGCTCAGTGGCACGGCACCTGCCTGGCAAGCTCAAGGTCCTGAGTTCGACTGCGGGTACCAAAAAAAAAACACAGCCCCCCAGAAATCATACCATTTCTACTACTCATCCATTGAGAGAGTTTCCTGGTATTTCACAAGGGAACTCAGCCCTCTGTGGCTTTTACCTTCTACCCATTAGATGGTAGGAACAAGCTTGTGTTTCTCACACAAAGCACTTTCCTCATCATCAGCCCTTGAGAACCCAGAACTTCTCTCTCCCGGATGGCCGTGGGGAAAACTAGAATAACTTCAGGAGAAGTTTGAAACTGAGTGACAGGCCCAGCAAGCCTGCTCAGTGGTGTGTTTCTTTTTAGACTGAAAATTCCAGAGCCTGACTCCGGCACTGCAAATATGCCACGTCATATGACCGTTGTTCTGGGGAAAAACTGGTATGTTCGGACAGGAAAAAGTTTTTTCATCCAATGTCAAGTTCTTTTCTTGGCTTATATTTTGAGTCCAAAATTCTTCCAAAGTTTTGACTGAAGACAACCCTGTGCAAGAAAATCCTGTTCCCAGGTCTAGACAGTTTGTTTTCAATATGGAAACCAGTGTAGTGCTTGCTTCAGTTTGATACCTATATAAGGAGGTATTCAGCGAGGTAAATCTTGCTCAGTTTCTAACTGCAGATGGTAGTACCATACCACTAAAATACCAAGAAGTGCAATTCCTGAATTCCACTTCTTGGTGTTTCTACCCAGAAAGACAGGTATGTGGGCACAAAGAGGCATGTATGCAGTGGTATTTGTACTGATGAAAACCTAGGAACAATTCAGATGTCCACCAACAAGACAATGGCAAAATACCTGATGGTATTTTCATTCTATAGGAAGATTTTTAAATAGTGAAGTAACAGTGGAAACAACCCCAGTGTCCATCAGTTGATGAATGACTAATCAAATGTGGCATACTTATACAATGGAATAGTAGTCAGCCTTAAGAAGGAAATTCTGACACATGCTACAACATGGGTAAAACTTGAGAACATTATGCTAAGTGAAAGGAAGCAGTCACAAAAGGACAAATGATGTATGATTCTACTTTTGTGTACCTAGAGTAATCAAATTCATAGAGACAGAAAGAACAGTAGCTACCAGGAGCTGGGGGAGGGGGAGGGGAGGGGTTACTATTGAATCCACTCAGTTTCATTTTGGGGATGAGGAAAAGGTCCTGGAGGTGGATGATGGTGGTGATCGCACAACAGGGGAAATCTGTTAAAGGCCACTCTGCTGTACCCTTAAAAACAGTGGGGATGGTGAATTTTACATTATGTGTATCTCACCACACTACAAAAGGCCAGAGGTAGTGGTGCACATCTATAATCCCAGCTACTTGGCAGGCTGAGGCAGAAGGATCACAAGTTCAAAGCCAACCTGGGCAAATTAGCAAGGCCCTGTCTCAAAATAAAAATAAAAAGGCCTGAGGAGTATAGCTCAGTGGTAGAGTGTCCCTGGTTTTGATCCCTGGTACTGCATAAAAAGAAGAAAAGGACTGAGGTAGGTTTCTAAGTATTGACCTGAAAAGATCTCAAAGTCATAATGTAGAATGAAAAGTAAACATGAGATTTAAATACATTCCTGTCTCAGTGCATGGGAAGCAGGAGCGGTATCTGAGAGGGGTCTGGCTTAATGATGGTGTCGAAGGAGAATTTGGGTCTAATCTGTAATGTTTTCATTTTCTGAAAGGAATGTGTATTTATATATCCCTATGGGATTTAAAGTTAATAACATTGTTTAAAATAGCTCTAGAAGGGAAACTCAAAAAAACAGTGGCATTGGCTCTGCACTGGCTGCCTGGGGGACACTCACAAGAGACTTCACACTGTCCACTTTTGTGCCCTTTGAAATTCTGTGCCCTATGTGACATTAGTACCTATGTATTTCAAACTTACAAAGTCAATAGCAAATTCTTCCTGAGTTGATATTCAATTCAAAACAACTGACTTTTGTTCTTCTGTAGCTCTCATAATTCATTCCTCCCCGTCCTGCCTTTAAAAAGCCTTCCACATTCTGGGAGTGCTCCCAGAGGGTCATTGTTAGTGGCTTCTTCCCACGGGGTCATGTTTTCTAAACTACAATGAATATAAAACTACAGAAGTCCCAGCTTCGGCTCAATCTGTGCCTCAGCCATTCTGTGAAGTCAGTGTTAGCCCTCTGTGTTTGTAAGTTCTCAGGACAAGCCTGAGCAAAACCAAAAGTCAAAGCTCACAATCCTGGGGACTTTGATCTTGAGTTCCTGGCCCGTCTGCTAGGGGGCCTGCATGGTTAGTGGCACCCATCTGTTGAGGAAAGAAATCTCATTCTGGTTCTGATTGCTTTACCCATACAAGTCATCTTTATTTCACGCAGTCTCATAAGCTGTAAAATGGGGATGGTCCACCTCCATCTTTTTCTGTGTTCAGGGCTAGCCACGGGAGAGATGGAGACAGCCTAGCTGAAAATCCTTACCTTCTGTAGTGGGAAGGGCCAGCATCCCCAGCCCCTCCAACCCGCCTTCCTGACAGTTACCCTGTGTTTCCGCTTTAGGTACGTACCTGTGGGAATCATGTTCCTGGTTGGAAGCAAGATCGTGGAAATGAAGAACATCATCGCGCTGGTGACCAGCCTCGGGAAATACATCTTCGCATCCATACTGGGCCATGTTATTCATGGAATAATTGTTCTGCCACTTATTTATTTTGTTTTCACACGAAAAAACCCATTCCGATTCCTCCTGGGCCTTCTCACACCATTTGCAACGGCGTTTGCCACCTGCTCCAGGTGAGTGGGCTTGGCCGCTCCCAGCCACATCAGCCTGGGACTCCGTGAGCCCTGTGGGAAATGCATAGCCACTTCTGTGTCCTCTTGGGAACATTCTGCTCTGAGGCAGTGTGTGCTTCTTGAGAAAACTAGAACAGGTAAATCCAAGCAAATAATATAACAGGTAAAATCACGAAGTCATATCTGAATACTTTGAGAGTTGACAAAATAATATAATTATGTTAGAAACTTTAAAATTGTTCTGGTTTCCCCTCTTAGTTCAAGGGAAGAAAGCCAGAAACAAGGATGGTGCTGATGGCTCTGTTCCCGATGAGTCATGGGTTAGCCTGGCTGGGGCAGCCATTCTCATGGTTGTTTGCTGGTTTTTTTGCATTTCTAGCTCAGCGACCCTTCCTTCTATGATCAAGTGCATTGAAGAAAACAACGGTGTAGACAAGAAGATCAGCAGGTTTATTCTTCCCATCGGGGCCACTGTGAACATGGACGGGGCGGCCATCTTCCAGTGTGTGGCTGCTGTGTTCATCGCCCAGCTCAACAGCGTGGAGCTGAATGCAGGGCAGATTTTCACGATTCTGTAAGCTCATTACTCTTGTTCATCATCTTTGGACTTAACGTCAACCTTGAGGTTTTTCTTTGATTGAAAAGCCAAGGGCCCATAATTTGGTGTCTCGTTTATAAAATGAGGGCAGTAGGGCTTCGCTGTAGTCCTCCCTTCACATCCTGGGGCTTTGATTCTAGGGTCACCACCTTCCCCCAATAGATACCGAACCCAGGATCCTCAAATCCCCCACACAAAATGGGGCAGTTCTTCCGTATGACCTACTCACATTGCCCACATACTTTAAATCATCTCCAGATTACTTGCAATACATAATACAGTGGAAAGACTGTGTAAATAGCTAGTGTGCTATACTGTTTAGGGAATAATGCTAAGAAAAATGTCTGTACGTGTTTAGCAGAGACACCATTTTGACCCATGGCTGGTTGAATTCGTGAATGCAGAAGCTGAGGATGTGGAGAGCTGTGCTTGGAAAGCAGATTGTCTCTTCAGCTCGCAGAACCTGCAGTGGTGTGGTTTTTCAGTTTCTTAGCCATGGCTGCTATGTTCTGTATTTCTCTAGGCCCCCTCTATGCTCCATGGTGATGACTGACATTCTCTGCCATCCCCAGGGTGACTGCCACAGCATCCAGTGTTGGAGCAGCAGGCGTGCCAGCTGGAGGGGTCCTCACCATCGCCATTATCCTGGAAGCCATTGGCCTGCCCACCCATGACCTCTCTCTGATCCTGGCTGTGGACTGGATTGTGTAAGTAGCTAATCCTAAGGACATGGTTGTCTTTGCTACTTTTTTCTCACTGCTGAGACAAAATACCCAACACTCAAAGGAAGAAAGCTTTATTTAGCTCACAGTTTTTAGAGGTTCCAGTCCATAATCAGCTGGATCCAAGGCAGGGTGGCATCACAGAGGGGCATCACAGAGGAGAAACAGTTCATGGTAGGCAGAAGGCAGCCATGGCAGGCAATGACCCTCTTTCTCTCCCTTATATCTTACCCAGGAACACCCAGGGTGGGGCACCCTTAGTCCTACCCAGAACTATGCCAAACCAATCAGTGGACTAATTTAGTAATCACACACCCTTGATACCAGTATCACATCCTTAATCCCAGCATCACACACTCTAGATCCAGCTGCCTCTAAAAAGCCCTACCTGTGACTGCATGAGGCTTTGGGGACATCTAGATACAAACCACAACAAGAATAATAATAACAACAACAATAATAATAGTAGTAGTAATAATAATAATAAAGAACGCCTTATTGGATTTCCTAGGAGCTTGACACTCCACTAGGAATGTGGCATGTGGAGAAATTTAAAATACACTCCCTGCCTTGTGAAGAAGCCTACAGTTGAACTGGCAAGGCCAGAGTTAGCACTAGGAGAAGTTAAACATAGTAAGGGTCAAATGCCCATGAACATCTATCACTGACCATGACATGACACTACTGGTAACTAGCTCATAGCATCCGGTAAAGTGGGATCCAGTGCCAGGCCTTTAGCACAGCCCAGGGGCACAAGGCCCTATGGAGTTGGCGGCTGAAGGGGAGCCAGAAGTAGTAGGAGCAGTGGTCCTTTAGGAGTGGTGTCCCTGGCCTGGAAGCATCTGAGGAGCGCTTTCTGTGAGGACAGAAGGGGAGCCCTACTAGTGTAAGTAGCATAGACTCCAGTTGGGCTCACAGAGAAAGAGTCGGGAAAGGCAGGGATCTGGACCAGGGCTCCTGTAAAGACACAAAGCAGGCAGGTGTGCGTATAATTCCAGTACTCATGAGGCTGAGGCAGGAGGATCACCATGAGTTCGAGTCCAGCCTGGGCTACAGAGTGAACTCAATGCCAGCCTGAACTACAGAGCAAGAACCTGTCTCAAAAAGCAAAATAATTAAGACACAAAGGGATTTCTAGATACTGATTCCTTGAGTCTAGCAGTACCTTTGGCAGGTGTAAGTAACACCTGCTGTGTAGAGAAAGTCAGCAGAGGTGCTGATGAGATGGCAGAGGCCGTGGGAGAAAATGAGGCTTGGAGCCCAGGCAGCTGGGTTCAAATCATGGCCTCGTGATGTAGTTGCTGCCTATTGTGAGCTCTTCTGTGCCTTGATCTGCTCATCTGTGAAATGGGAATCATGGCAGAAGCTGCACAGTAGTGGTGAGGCTTAAGTGAGTCAGCTCTGCACTGTGCACAGAGTGCTGGGTGCATGGGAAAGCCCTCACTCCACAGCAGTGAAGAAAGACCTTCCTGCCAGGCTAGTCACAGCCAGGCATGCGGGAACCTGAACACAAGTGCTTGGCATGGGTGTTGGGCTAATTGCAGCAAGGAAGCTCAAGAAAGGACAGTGCTGTTTTCTGTGAGATGATGTTTGCTACGGCCACGGAATGCACGTGAGGACTGGTCCATAGCCAGGAGTGAGCAGAGTGTGGTGGTACACACCTGTCATTTTAGCACTCAGGAGGCTGAGGCAGGAGAATCACAAGTTGAAAGCCAGCCTGGGCAATTTAGTGACATCCTACTTCAAAAAAAAAAGGAAAGAAAGAAGAAGAAAAAGTTTAGCAGTGAAGCAGCACTAAAATGAAAACGAGGATAACACCAAGGGGACATAAACCCTATCTGCCCTGTTCTCCCAATTACATGCACTCTTATATAATGGTGCCCATTACACATAAAATACATGCATAGAAAGATGACTAGAAGGAAGCAGATCAGTGTCAACACCAATTTGTGCAGAGGTGTAGAGTACAGGTGACTTTGCTTCCTTTTTTTATTTTATTTTTTTGAGACAGGGTCTTGCTGTGTAGTTCAGGCTGGCCTTGAACTCACAATGTAATACAAGCTGGCCTCTAACTCCAAGGCAATCCTCCTGCTTCAGCCTCCTGAGTTCTGGGATTTTAGCTGTGTGCCACCATGCCTGGCTCAACTTCCTTTTTTCCAAATTTTCTATAGTGAGGGACTGTTACATGTACAAGAATAAAAAATGACTTGAGCAAGGTGCACAGTTACTCAGGAGGCTGAGGTAAGAGCATTGCAAGTCTGAGGCCAGCCTGGGCAACTTAGCAAGGCCTGTTTCTAAATTTTAAAAAATTTTGCCAAACATGGTGGCACACGCCTGGAGGTTCAATTCTCAGTACCAAAAAATAAAGAGCAGACACAATAAGGCTTGGGATATAACTTAATGATCGAGAGCTTGCCTACATAGTGTGCAGAAGGCCCTGAGTTCAGTCTTCTGGGCCACCAAAAAAAAAGTGCAAAAAGTAGAAAATGTTCAAAGAAAATCAATTTAGAGCAAGTCCCTTAGCAGCGTGCCCTCTAGGACACAAGGCCCCTTCCATTCAGTTTCCTGGTGGTGACATCCAGCCTCCCTGCGACAGGGCCAGCTCCTCGCTGTCTCCCGCTGGGGTGCTGGCTGTGACACCTCCCTTTTCTTTGCCCACCAGGGACCGGACCACCACGGTGGTGAACGTAGAAGGGGACGCCCTGGGCGCGGGCATTCTCCACCATCTCAACCAGAAGGCCATGAAGAGAGGAGAACAGGAACTGAGCGAGGTGAAAGTGGAAGCTGTCCCCAACTGCAAGTCCGAGGAGGAGACGTCGCCTCTGGTGACACACCAGAACCCCTCCTCCACTGCAACCAGTGTCCAAGAAGTGGAGTCCAAGGAGTCGGTGCTGTGAGGGGGCTGGGCCACAGGCTGGCACCCGCCCCATTACACTCGGGCGCCGCCCTCACAGATTTCTAGTCTCCCGAGCAGTGCTTTGGCCCAGTCACCAGTCTGAGGATGACCTCTCCACACAGGCATTGGGCTCCCCAGCGGGAACTGGTTGCCGAGGACCAGGACACTGACATTTGGCTTGATCCAGTCCAGGTGCAGCTGCTGGTGCGCCAGGGCTGTTTGGAAAACTCCCTCTCGAGCTGCCAGGCTTGAGGAGTCCTGGGCCTCCCAGGCCCTGTGGATAAACTTGGGAAAACGCAGGCATCTTATTCTTCATTGGCCCTGCTCAGCTCTGCACTGGGGACTGCCGAGCACACCAAGGAGGGTCGCAGTCATCTGGCACGTTTCCTCGTGAACAACAGTAATTGGAGAAATTCCCACAGTCTTAGCGTCCGCTGAGACTCGGGGGTTAAAAGAGTGGCGCTGCTCCTAGGAGTGCGAGGCTTCTGAGGGACCCAGGCGCTGCGCAGTGTCGGTTAGAACTACCCCAGGTGTGGCGGCACTGAGGCGCCTCAGGTCAGGAGCATAAGGAAACAATTTAAATTCTGAGGTCTAAGGCAGGAGAGGGAGAGGGGCTGGGGAGTGAGGGCTCCCTAATCAAGGACAAGACACATAGTCGTCCCTTTCCCACCTCAGCCCTGGGCACCTTTAGGCTTCTGAGGCCTGGGTCTCTCACAAGGCTTCAGCTTTATCTCCATCCACTCTGATTTGGCAGCAGCCAGCGCCTCTGGGGACGTGTGATCATCCCATGACAGTTTGTCTTTGACATTCGAGTGGACCCTCCCAAAAGTGCTCCTGGCAGCAAAACAAACCCACCCCTTACAATAAATGCACACACTGAGGTGGGGCGCCCCTGATCCCAGTCCCCAGGCCTTTGGCCGACGTGGCCCCTTGCCGGCCAGTACGTCAAAGTTTAAAATTCCCAGCAAAATGGTCCATGTTCCTCCTGTTACCTGGTGCCTCAGTTCTCACTAGGGGAGGGCTCTGAGCAGATGGAAGAATCTGCTGCTTCACTGTGGCTGTTGGTGTAACGGTGTGTCCTGCACCAAGTCCTGGGGCCTCACTGTACCCTTGAGGCTAACATCACCTGTCTCTTACCTACCTCAAAGGGATCTGGTGAGTCAAACCATGAAAATGATCATTTTGCTTCTTAGGTACCAAACGCTAACCCCTGTATGAGCATCTGACCTTCCCAAGAACTAGGTGACAGCCTTCTCCAGGAGACTGCATCCTTCCGGTGACAGCAGTCTTCCTGAGCAGGGCTCTGTGCTTTCATGCATTAGAGGGTTTATCACGCTGTTCTCTGCGTTATCGGACAGCACCAATGCAGCCTCTTCCTGATGCCCCTCGCATCTAACGGGTTAGCCACGCACCTTGTACTACATTTCGGTTCCCTGACCTCACTGTGGTCCCCGGCCACAGGCAGCCTCCGCCGCGCCACTCACCCCGTCATTCTCATTTGCCCTGTTGTGCATATCCCACGGGCCCTACATTTGAAATGCAGTCCTGTGCCCACGTGGAAGGGGTAGGAAAAGCCACGGGGCACAGAGCTGTCCCAGCCAGTGGGCAGGCCCAGCTCTCCTAAACAAGCTAAGCCACTCCAGTATCCCGCGAAGCCGGAAGGGACCAGGAACTGAGCAGAGAGAGGCAGGGACACGGGCGCCTGGCTAGAGCTTGTTGCCAGTATCCATCCGATTTGAAAGGGGGAACAATCACATGGATTCCAAACTGTAAATGGACATGTGCTATTTTTCGGGCTTCAGTGAATCTTTTCTTTCATGTGTAGTACGACTATGTGTATATACACGTGTGGGTGTGTGGGTGTGTGTGTATCATTTTAGCTCCAATTCAAGCCAGTCTGAGTTTGGATGGAGAAGCCCTGAACTGTAAGTTGTATGCTTTTGGCGTTCTGACTTTCTCATTTCTGAAGAGGACTCGTACAAAGCGAGGCGATTGGAGCTGGCCAGTGGGGCCCATTGGTTGAACACATATGCCACCATGCCACCATGGTCTGCAAAAGATGCTTCTGTGTGACCTGCTGACGGCCCCCGGGAGGCCAGCAGAGGAGTCTCCTGTTTCTCCATTCACAGAGGGGTCAGTGGACCGGGATAAGGGCTGGGGAAAAGGCCACTGCACAGCGTCTGAAAGTCTCCCTCGCCATTTTCTTTCCAACGTGTTGTCATAATGCCATTCAAACGCTGTTCATTGCTATTTTGTACATGTGACACTTGCCTTAAAATGTAGCACAGGCCTCAAAAATGAATATAGTGTTTCTACTGGCCCCTCTGTCCTGGACTCCTCTCTTGTGTCTCAAGGTACACTGAGTGGGGAGCACTGCTCTTCTGGGGGACAGCCTGGGGTGGCCAGTGGGCTTTTTCTTACCCTTACTCCCAAGGAAGGCTAGGCTGGCTTCTGTGGCCGCCAGCTTGTAACTGGTGACCCTCAAGCTGTCTTGCAAACAGTGCGCAGTTTCACCGCAGAGCTCCGCAAAGCTGCCTTGTCAAACCAACTAAGCCGGCAGATCTTCACTGCACCTCTGCGGGAAGCCAAGCACGGGGAGAAGGAAGAATGCCTGGGGAGTTGAGTGGCTGGGCAGGTCCCTGAGGTGGGCGGTGGCTCAGGCCTCCGCTGTGGTCACCACCACACCCAGCCCATTATTTTATGTAATCTGTTGTCACTGGCACCACATTCCAGCACAGTTAGGGGCTCTGGAAGCCTCTTCAGATAGTTCTCCTGCAAGCTCGTACTAGAAGCCGTAGTTTCCACACTCAGGCTCTGAAGAAACAGCTCCTGTTCTGACCCGAACACTTCCAGCTCCTCTCATGTGAAAATCACTAATCACCTCCTGGGCAGGACACAAAGAATGAGGAGCGCACGCACAGATCAGAGGCCCGCTGGGGTAGCTGTCATAACCCCGTGGAGAGTGAGGCGCTGCCCTGGGGACCAGAGGAGCTGCTCAAAGGCGCTTTCACTTGTTTCCATGAACACTGTAAATCAGGCAGCCAGGAGCGTGGACCACCCATTCCAGTGTGGGCCCTGCCATTTGCTGTGTGACCCTGGACAGGACAACCTCTCTGTGCCTCAGTGTCCTCAAAAAACAGGGAAAATAACTATACAATGACATACTAATCTGTTAGGAAGATCCGATGGGCTTAATGTATGTTCAGTGTTTGCAAAGCACCTGGCCCATGAAATGTGCTGTGTCAGTGTCTGCTTTCTAGCCGGAAAGGTTCCCGCCAGCCTGTGTCACTCTGCGCCTACACCTGCCTGCCCATCAGGCAGCACGCAGGGTGCTTGATCCTTTTGCCCCTGGAAGAGGCGGGGGAACCTGCCTCAGCTCGCAGGCCATCTGCTTATCTGCACCTACCTACTGCAGGAATGTTTCTGCTTAGCATTCAGTTCTTAAAATACGTCAAGGACTGCCTCAAAGGAACTGGGCCTTGCAATAATTGTTACGAAGCACTTGGATGTCACCTGTTCACAAAAGAACCACCCTATTCACGACTGCAGCTGTACAGTTCCAAGTGACAACCAGGATGCAGACCACTCCGGTGACACGCTGCCTCCCAGACAGTGTGCTCTCCCAGCCCTACCCATCACTGCCCGCCATCCCACAGCCCTCGCCCTGCAGACCCTTGGCCTGGGCTCCCAGTGAGAAAGCACAGGGTGAAAGGGAAAATACACAGTCATTCACAGTAAAATTCCCCTTCTCAAAGGGAGACAGTCATGGATCCTCACAAGTTTTACACCTTTTCAGATAGTTGGAACTCGGTGTCCTAAAACTTTCTCAAACCTGCATTATTTGTCTTAGGAGATATACCAACTCACTTGCTGTTGCTAATAATACAGTACCACAGGCTGTGTAAGTTCAAAAGAAAAGTTTTGGCTCAGGTTCCGGAGGTCCAGGTTAGAGCCCAGCTCCGGATATACACTCAGGGTTCTGAGGTGGTGCAGGGTATCACACGACAGAAACAGGCCCTGAGTGCCTTCCAGTGTCCCTCCTACTCATAAAGTCTCCAGGATGCAGTCGTGGGGGCTCCACCCTGACACCCTACCCAACACTAATCACCTCCTCACGCCGCAGCAGGGTTATTTCCACCCTCTTCATTCTTCCCCGTGGGGATTAAATGTCAAAACATAAAACCTTGGGAAATGCACTTAACCTCCATCCAAACCTTAGCAAGAGCCATACACAGAAAAACGTTGGGCTGGATTTTTAGCAGATATAAAATTGTTTGAGCCAGACATGGTGGCACATGTTTGTAATTCCAGTACTCAGGAGGCTGAGACAGGAGGGTGTAGAGTTTGAGGCTAGCCTGAGCAACCCAACAAGATCCTCTCTCAAAACAAAACAAAAAGATTATCTGGAGTAAGACATGAGACTGAGATGACCTTGGGATTCTTAGAGTGGTTTGTAATACAAAAACTTGTCCAGGACTGAGGGTACAGTTGTACCCAAGCTCTACATTTAGGAGAAAAGGAAAACCATGCAAAAATATCAGAAATATTCTTTCTTTAAAAAAAAAAAAAAAATAGCTTCAGGGGTGTTCTGAGGTCAAAAAAGATTCAGTATTTCTTAACTTTTTTAAATTACTGGAATGTAATCCACATACCATAAAATTCGCCCTTGTAAGGTACATTATTCGGTGGTTTTTAGTATATTCTCAGAGTGGTGTGACCATCCCAACAAATTAATTCCAGATTTTCATCACCCAACAAAGATACCCAGGACCACTGGCAACAATTAATCTACTTTCTGCCTCCATGGATGTACCTATTCTGGACTTCTCATATACTGGGGTTATAACATCTTTTTTCTTTTATAGATGCTCCCAAAAAAAGAGAATTGATGTTCAAAATGTGACCACTGCCCGTCTTCCCACTGTAAGCCATAATCTCCATACACCAAAAGGAGGCCCTATAAGAGATCCTCTAAATCACCAAACACAAGTTCAAACATGTTAGCTTGCTCTATATCTATTCAGAAGGATTTTTTTCATCATGGATTAGACACACACACACACACACACACACACACACACACACACACACACACACAATTTCTTAATGGATTAAGCAGAACACTTACTTAGCGTTCACCCAGACATGAAGAACCCATGAAAGTTGATGTGTCTGTACAACATTCTAAGTTAAACTGTAGTCTGGACCCAAGCAACTCACTGCTACCACTGGCAGAGCTGCCGCACTGTGTAGCCCAAGGGTACAGACTGTGTTATATTCTTGTGAAGGACACTCTCAGAGGCTCTGCAGAGCTCAGTCTTCATGGTTGTACCCAGCAGCCCTGAGCTGTGGAGGTGAGCTGCAGTTAGGATTTGACTCACACTCAAACATAAAGCATATCCTGTAAAAATGGTATCTTTTCCTGTCAATCAGTGTTTGCTAATGAGCCGCAGAAACGATAAGCGTCTTAGAGCTTACGAGCGGCACAAACACCCTCAGTCAACCTCAGCAGTCACATTGAGTCTCCCGGTAACAAGGCATCCACGTTTGTTGCTAGGCATTTTGTAGCAGCGATGTATTTTATATCCCTGCTCCTAGGAGCACTTAGCTTGGCTGGCTAGATTGCTCATAGGACTTCCTCAGCTCCAGCCAAGAATCTCTGGAAGGGCTGCTGTCATGACGGAGGATGGTCCTAGATCTCACGAATGAAAGACCACTTCTCTGTGTTTCCAGAAACACAGCACCTCGGGACTGAGAGCGGCCAGATGCCAAAGTGCGGAGTCATCTGTGATAGTTTCCATTTCTTCCGAGTCAAAACCCAACAGAGCTGATCTCCAGGGTTAGAAGTCCGCGGAGCAGCCCCCATTACGTAGGGAAGGGGGAAAGGAAGCCTCTGGGAAGTGCTCACGATGTTCTATTTCTTTTGCTGGATGAGTGTGTGCTTTGTGACAATTCATTATATTGAATACATTACATTCTGCGTGCTTTTCTTTTTTATGGAACCGGGAAGTGAACTCAAGACCTTGCACTTGCCAGGCAGGCACCATGCTGCTGAGCTACATCCTCAGCTCCGATTATGTACTTTTGTGTAAGTGGAAAAAAAAGGAGACCAGTTAGGACTGGTGAGAAGACTGAACTTTATAGTAGTTTCCCATCACTGCAAATAATCATGCCTTTCCTTGGGTGTCTTGTGACCTATGGAAAATCTTCTCTGCTAATTGCACCTTAGGGACCTAGAGCAGGGATGAGCTGACTATGGCCCACAAGCCAAAAGCAGCCCGCTGCCTGGTTTCGTATGGCCCACTGACATTGTTCCAACACACCAGCAGATGAGCCATAGTGACCAATCTTGGCCACCACCAACCCCTGCACCAGGGCCAACATCCACGAGGTACAGAACTCAACACTTTTATGGGCCTAAAAAAGTATTTTAATTCATTTTAAAATCAAGATAGAGAATAGCCAATCCATCTTTATACCAACACAGTTGGAAGGACCGTGAACTCAAACATACCAAGAATCCATAATTATGTGTATCTCTGCTTAGTGGCTGTGTCTGCCCCTGGCCAGGGCCAGGTAGGTCACCATCTACGGGTTGGAAACTTTGCTGTTGCCAACTGCCAGGGACTGCCTCATGAAGTCTCAGTCCAGGAATCAGCAACTTGGTATATTTCCCTGCCACTGGCAGTGGCCCAGGTTAAGCCCCTCTCCCCCGTGCAAGTAGCTCTTTGTCCTGAGAATGTATCCAGCTGATGGCAAGTGGGCGTCAGGCATGTGCACTACTAGGGATGGCCCACCACAGGCAAATGGGGCAGGGTGGGACGGGACAGGAGTTTTCTCTTTTGTTAGAGAAGAACCTACGTGATATCCCTGATTTTACTTCTCCCAGAAAGCCCAAGTAATTTATTACCTGGCTTTTTATGAGAAAAGCTTGTCAACTGCTACTCTAAGGAAATATTTCCCCATTCTCTGACCCATTTGCCACTGTTATCATTTGGTGGAATCTGGAAATCCAGGTATGCTGTGACTATGCTGTAATGTTCAACTCGGTAAAGAAGTCTCTGCCATCCCAATTGTAGGACAGTGATGGTTCTGAATAGGAGCAATGGCCTGGGCTTTGTTGGCTGCTGGGATTGTCTAATCATAAGATAGACAAAGGCACATTCTAAGGGAATCCCCAAGATGGACCCCAATGGTGCCTGTCTGCTAACATTCATGCCATGGACTCCTATCCACACCAAATAGGCCTGACCTGTTGTAAACAATGGGATATTGTGAAGCAAGGGTATGTGGCTTTCCACGTTGTCATAAAAGACATCGGGGCT